TGGAAAGAAAACAAATTAGATTGAAGTCACCCATTTTAGGGCTAAAAAGGGTAAAAATGACCTTTTTGGCCATTCTACTCATAACCGGACACGGCCATAGGGTCCTGTACATCCTAAAGGTCATGTAGGACCCACACAGTGAAGCTCCGAGTGAATGGAGGAAGTAAAAAAAAAAAAAAAAAAAAAAAAAAAAAAAAAAAAAGGAAGTATGCTAGTGCCGAGCGCTTGGAAGGCATCTAAGGCACCCCACCACGCCCGCATGGAGCATGTCAGCCGAGCGGTCGGACCCTTGCTCCAAGTGCTCGAGCTCCCTTAGAAAATGGGCTTTTTGCCCTTTTCTGTCCCCATGACCTGCTTTAGCCTAACTCTTTGGTCATTTTGACCTTTAATGTCCTGTCCCAACCCACAACAAGTATATAAATCCATTCCTTCAACTCAATCATCAATATTGTAACGACCCAAATCTAGGAAATCTGGATCGCTAACGAGGTCCTAACCCGACTCAGAGACACTCAAGGGTAAAATGGTTTCACCCCAACTACGCATTATGAGTCATGCCGAGATCACATTAGTCATTTCTAGCCACTTTGGCTGATATGAGTAACTTTTCTTGAAGTTCGGTTTCATTTTGGGATCCTTTGGTTAATGGGGATAAAATGGTTCTTTTAAGTAAAAATTATGGAATGAAACTCACACCATGCGAAAGGGGATTTAAAATCATACAACTTATCCTCAACAACGAGTCAATTCAGATTTTAGACGAGCATACAATGTTTATTTGAGATTCGGTTTTCAACGTGAGAAAATAATAATAATAATTAAATATTGACTAATGCAATGGGCTACATCCGGATTTAGTACATCCTAGAGAGGCCAACTCTCCGTGGTACAACAATAATGACATGAAAAATCTCAATTACAACATTTACGACCGGACGGTTTGAATCGGTTCATTTGTCAATTCATAAAGAAAATAATAAAATATATAATTCTAATTGTATAATTAATGTGTATGTGAATATATATATATAGTAATATAAAGAGATGGAGAGAGAGATAACCAAAGAGAGAGAGAATGGAATTTTTGTTTTATTATAACACCCACACCACGCTGTATACATGAATGCCCATATATATAGGCGCTGTAATTGGCTTCCCAAAGAAGCCACAATTGAAATCTTCCTCTGTAAGCTTTGCACGGTGATGTCATGGATGACATACATTTATTGTGGGCCCCACTTCCATTATACATAACACTCCCCCTTAGGGTCCACAATATTACATTAAGAATATGCCTCGTTAAAACATTACTAAGGAAAACCCAATGGGACAAAACCCTAGCGAAGGAAAAAGAGTACAGTATTCTTATGTATCTGAAAATGGTATCTTCTGAATATCAATATCACCCTTTTTCTGGAGTTCATGTGCATAAAAGAATTTTGGTGAGATGTGTTTGGTCCTGTCACTTTTAATATGCCCTTCTTTCATCTGTGCAATGCATGCCGTATTATCTTCATATAATACTGTTGGGCTTTCTTTTATTGATGAGAGACCACATGTTGTTCGAATATGTTGGATCATTGATCTCAACCAAAAGCATTCCCTGCTTGCCTCATGAATTGCGAGTATCTCAGAATGATTTGAAGAAGTTGCAATCATTGTCTGTTTCATTGATCACCATGATATAGCAGTGCCGCCACAGGTAAACACATATCCTGTTTGTGAATAAGCTTTATGTGGGTCAGAAAGATAGCCGACATCTGCATATCCAACTAATGGAGACTTTGGTGCCTTCGAATAAAACAAGCCCATATCAGTTGTGCCACGAAGATATCGCAGTATGTGTTTGATTCCATTCCAATGTCTACGAGTTGGTGCAGAACTGTACCGTGCTAATAAATTGACTGGAAAAATTATATCAGGTCTTGTGTAATTTGCAAGATACAAAAGAGCACCAATCGCACTGAGATAGGGCACTGCAGGACCAAGGAGTTCTTCATCATCTTCTCGAGGACGAAAAGGATCTTTCTTGATGTCAAGTGATCGGACAACCATTGGGCAGCTCAATGGATAGGCTTTATCCATATAAAAACGTTTCAGAATCTTTTCTGTATATGTTGATTGATAGATGAGAATACCGTTCGAAAAATGTTCAACCTGCAGCCCAAAGCAGAATTTTGTCTTTCTTAAATCTTTCATTTCAAATTCTTTCTTTAAATAATTGGTCGTCTTTTCGATCTCGTCTAATGTTCCCACAAGGTTCAGATCATCAACATATACTGCAACAATAACAAAACCAGATTCTGATTTGTTAATAAAAATGCATGGACAAATATGACTGTTTACATACCCTTCTTCGAGTAAGTAATCGCTAAAGCGATTATACCACATTCGTCTAGATTGCTTCAATCCATATAAGGATCATTGTAATTTTATTGAGTGCATATTACGTGGTTTTGTTTCAGGCATTTTAAATCATTCTGGGATTTTCATATAAATATCACTATCTAGTGATCCATATAAATATGTTGTAACCACGTCCATTAGATGCATATGCAATCTTTCTGTGACTGCCAAGTGTATTATGAATCTAAAAGTAGTTACATCAATCACAGGGGAGTATGTTTCCTCATAATCAATACCAGGTCTTTGTGAGAAACCTTGAGCTACAAGTCGGGCTTTGTATCTCACGATTTCATTTTTCTCATTACGTTTTCGAACAAACACCCATTTGTACCCAACAGGATTAACACCCTCAGGTGTCTGGACTATTGGTCTAAATACTTCACGTTTAGCTAATGAATTTAGCTCTGCTTGTATCGCTTCTTTCCATTTTGGCCAATCATTTCTTCATCGACATTCTTCGACGTTTTGAGGTTTCGGATCCTCATTTTCAATATCAAGAGCAACGAGATATGAGAATATGTTGTCGACAACAATTTCATTTCTATTCCATCTCGTTTCATAATTTAATGAGATCTCATCATTTTCAGGTACCTTTGTCTCATCAAGGGCATGTGCCTTATCAAGGGCCATATCATCATTTGTTGTTTTTGCCTCATCAATATTTATGATTTCATCATTTTTAGGTACCTGAGACTCATCAAGAGCATCTGCTTTATCAAAAGTTATTATCTCAGATTGATCAATAATATCTGTTGCTCTTTTTGTGGCCTCTTCAAGAGTGCCAGCTTTTCTTTGTGATTTCTTCTTACGAGGAACAATATCTTTTGCACCGACTGGTCTACCACGCTTCAGGCGTGTTTTAGATGCATTTGTTGCATTACTGACAGAAGGTCCCTCAGGACAGCAATTCGTGCTGGCACATTTACAATTGGTATATGTGATTTTATCACTTTCTTTGTATCAGTAAATGCATCAGGTAATTGATTTGCAACATTTTGCAAGTGAATGATCCTCTGAACTTTTTGTTCACATTGGTTTGTACGAGGATCAAAATGAGACAATTCCAAGGCATTCCAAGTAAGATCACGTTGCTGCTGTGCCTTTTCTCCCCCTAATGGTGGGAAAACAGTCTCATCAAAATGACAGTCAGCAAATCGTGCTTTAAAGACATCACCTGTCAGGGATTCAAGATATCTAATAATAGATGGAGAATCAAAACCAACATAAATTCCAAGTCTACGTTGAGGACCCATTTTAGTGCGTTGGGGTGGTGCAATTGGAACATATACAGCACGACTAAAAACTCGTATGTGGGAGATATTCGGTTGTTGACCCAAAACAATTTGTAATGGTGAGTACTTATGATAAGCAGTTGGTCGTATACGAACTAATGATGCAGCATGCAATATGGTATGACCCCAGGCAGAAACAAGTAATTTTGTTCGCATAAGTAAAGGACGACCAATTAGCTGAAGTCTTTTAATAAAACATTCAGCCATACCATTTTGAGTATGAGTGTATGCAACAGGATGTTCAACATTAATTCCAACTAACATGCAACAATCATCAAAAGCTTAAGAAGAAAATTCAGCAGCATTATCAAGACGGATTGTCTTAATTGGGTAATCAGGAAAGTGTGCCCGTAATTTGATGATTTGAGCAAGACGTTTAGCAAATACAACATTGCGAGTAAAAAGTAGACAAACATGTGACCATCGTGTTGATGCATCAATTAAAACCATAAAATAACGAAATGGTCCAGAGGGTGGATGAATTGGCCCATATATGTCCCCATGAATTCGTTGTTAAAATGGAGGAGACTCAACAATGACTTTTGAAGGGAATGGTCTGATAATCAACTTACCTTGTGAGCAGGCGGTGCATAGATGATTATTTGGTAAGATGATTTTTTGATCTTTTAGTGGGTGACCATGTGAATTTTCAATAATTCGATGCATCATTGTACTCCCTGGGTGACCAAGTCAATCATGCCAAAGCATAAAAAGTTTTGAGTCACAAGATTTTTTATGGATCACAACATTTAACTCAATTGTTCTAATGGTTGTATAATATAACCCAGAAGAGAAAACAGGGAGTTTTTCTAATATCAGTTTCTTGCCTGAGGTAATGGAAGTAATGTAGAGATATTCTACATTTCTTTCATTTGCAGTCTCAATGTGATACCCATTACGACGCAAATCTTTAAAACTCAACAGATTTCCCCGAGATCTTGTAGAATATAAGGCATCATCGATTTGTAATCTTGTTCCATGTGGTAAAATGATGTTAGCTCATCCGGAGCCTTCAATCAAGTCGGTGGGACCTGATATGGTACTAACACTGGCATATGTCAGAGTTAGGTGAGAAAAATATTTTTGATCTTGAAGGATTGTATGTATTGTTCCACTATCTGCAAGACATATATCTTCACCATTTAATTTGGGACTAGTCAGATCCATTCCTATTCATGCAAATTTCTTTATCAAAAAAGAAACTTTTTATAACAAAGGAAACTTTGATACAAACTAGAAAATAAAAACTTTAACACAAGGAAAATAGAAACATAGTAGACAGAACATGAAAAAAACATAAGATTAACTGGTGTGGACATTTCCATCACCAATCAGGAAGTCTATCATTCCATCACGATCATCAAAAAAATCTGATACATCCAGATTGGTGATGTTAACTGGCTCATCATGATTAATGAAATTCATTTCCAGATTTGTGGTGTCAACTGGCTCATCATGATCAAGGAAATTCATTTCCTTTTGTTTTCCCTTTTCTTTCATTGAGGCTTGGTAAAGATCAGCCAGATGTTTTGGTGTACGACAAATACTTTGCCAATGCCCTGTCATGCCACACCGATAACAAGTATTATCATAAGCCTTAGAAGGTTGAGCCACATCCTTCCATTTTACTTGTCTCATTTCATTATAATCTTTCCTTTGAGGATATGGTGTGGAAAACTGATTGCAAAAATGTGAGGATTGATATCCTTCACGATAATAAGAATGATTTCTACCACGACCATATTCATTATTGTGGTAGTTATTTTTACCACGACCATATTCATTTCTACCACCATGACCACGTCCACGTCCGCGTCCACGACTACGAGATGAGGCAACATATGTTTCAGGGATCGGTGTCGATCCAGTTGGACGGGACTGGTGGTTTCTCAACAAAAGCTCATTATTTTGCTCTGCCACAAGCAAACATGATATCAGATCTGAATATTTTTTAAATTTACGCTCTTAATATTGTTATTGCAAGAGTACATTCGAGGCGTGAAATGTAGTGAATGTTTTTTCTAGCAAAAGTTCATCAGTAATAGTATCACCACATAATTTCAATGTAGAGCTGATTTTGAATAGAGCAGAGTTATATTCAGCCACAGTTTTAAAATCTTGCAACCTCAGTTGCAGCCAATCAGCCCTGGCCTTTGGGAGGATGACTGTTTTTTGATGATCATATCTTTCTTTCAAATTATTCCACAAACAAAGTGGATCTCTTTCAATGAGGTATTCAGTTTTCAGTTCCTCACTAATATGGCACCAGAGAAAAATCATGGCCTTTGCGTTATCTTGCAATGATGCCTCATTGTCTTCTTTAATTGTGTCACCAAGGCCCATGGCATCCAAATAGATCTGAGCATCCAGAATCCAAGATAAATAATTTTTGCCAGAAATATCCAGTGCCACGAATTCCAGTTTTGTCAAATTTGACATTTTCAGAATAACTAGATGTGACAACAATATAAAAATATAATTTAGCATATAAATAAAATGGAATTAAAATGAAATAATAAAATAATATAAATTATTTAAACAACAATATTGGTCAATCCGGTAATTATAAATAAATTATTAAACAATAAAGGCGGTAAAACCAGCCATAAAATATTAAATAATAAAAGTGGTAAAACCGACCATAATTAGTAAATTATTAAATAATAAAGGTGGTAGAACCAACCATAGTGTAAGCATATATATCATTTAAGTGAGCAACTTTATTTTACTAACAATAATCCATAATTAAAATTTCCTTACCCTTTGGAGTCAGAAATATTATTTTCTCCGATAAAGCAAACAAACCCAATAATCTATCAAAACTAATATCACAAAATAGATATATAGTTGGGATAGAAAGAGAGAGAGAAAGCTTTCTTCTTCAAATCTCAGATGAATAGCTCGTGCTGATAACGTATAATAAATATGTGTATGTGAATATATATATATATATATATATATATATATATATATAAAGAGATGGAGAGAGAGATAACCAAAGAGAAAAAAAGAATGGAATTTTTGTTTTATTCCAACACCCACACCACACTGTATACATGAATGCCCATATATATATAGGCGCTGTAATTGGCTTCCCAAAGAAGCCACAATTGAAATCTTTCTCTGTAAGCTTTGCACGGTGATGTCATGGATGACATACATTTATTGTGACCCCACTTCCATTATACATAACAAATTGTTCATAAACAATTCATTTTTAACTCAAATTTTTATTCAATCAGTTCCCCAGTTGATTTGCAAACACATGGTTTGAATCATCTCATTTGTCAATGCATGCATGAAGAAAACAATAAAAATAATGCATGCATGAACAAAACCTCAAAATAATGCATTCCACGTAATGACAAGTTGAGCCCTAAACCTATCACACTTGAGTTCAAAAACAGAGCCAAACATTGTCAACTCTAAGCTGCTCAAACTCAATATATAATTATATATATTATATTCTACTTGCTTATAATTACAGCCCACCCAGTCATGAACCTCCCTTACATTCATTTTTTTCAGAATCAATCTCATTTTGTGCTAAAATGCATTGACTACTTCAATGCAACTATTAAGATATATTATTTATTTGCTGATTCAAGAAATAGTTGAATTAAATTGTAAGAATCCAAGGTAAAGCAAGGTTTAATATAGTCAAATAATAATATATTGATGTTTTTATTGTTCACAGCAATGTCATTTGAGTCAAATAATATATGTGTTCCTCGAAACTTTCCCCACTCATTAAATGCTATTCATTTAAAAATAAATACATAAATAAATAATAATAATAATTGACTTGAGAGTTCATAAAATATAGACTGATTTATTCCACTTGGGGCTCTCTCTCTCAACCCAACGTCCTCTTTTTATTACTAAGACCATCAGTGTGGAAATACATATCTTATTACAAAAATCTCATTCTTCTTTTCTGTTCTCTCCAAACCCATCTCTAATTGGATATTCATAAATAAATTAATTAATTGTTGATCATGTGCTTCATTGCAGGAACAAATTTCCCTAATTGGTTATTCATATGGTGGACAAATAATGTTGACCTAAAAAAATTTGCCATTTACACTATGCACAGCTAATGCTTTTGAGTTGCACTAGCAAGAGAGGACCTGAAACACTATAATATTTATATAGAACCACATAAGACATTAAATTGAAAAGTACAGAAAAGAATAAAATTGGTGTGTTCTATCCAAACAGAAAATTACATAAACTGACTTTCTACTAGAATCCACACACCACACACAGTGGCTTGGCTCAAGCACTCTTCACGAAACTTCGAAACATTTAAAGTAGCTTTATATTGTGTTTGGAAGTACTGAATCGGCACTTTGAATTTAAAATTGAAGAAAATTTAGTTCAAATTTTAAACTAAAAATCCTCGAAGTCTAAATCCAGCCACCAGATTCAGTAGGCATATTTGTGTGTGTGTGTGTGTGTGTTTTCTTCCTATATGTTTTGTTCGAACCAGTGACATTTTACTACTAGTTTTTTTTTTTTTTTTCCTAAGCATCTTTATAAAGCCAAAACCAAACAATATAATATTTCCATTTTTCATCATTTTCTATTTTTCTGAAATTTTTGTTGTTGTAAGGGCATTTTTGTCTTTTATCGTTTTGTGTGCCGGACACTGCGGAGTATGCCGGTTGTGTACGAGAGTTGTTTGGAGCATTTCATTGAGTTCAGAACTCTTTGAAATGTAAGGGTGATCATTTTAGCATTTTTTTCTTTTTTCGGGCCGAACAGTTCCGTGTGGGACCCGCTACTAGAATTGTTGCATGCGGGAATTTTAATTGGGTTCATTTACAACATATTTATTTTATTTAATGTGTTTTATATGGTTATAATTTAATATATGTATGTATAGACATATATGTGTGTGTGTGTGTGTGTGTGTGTGGTGTAAAAAGAAAATAAAAATAAAGAGAAAATAAATTATTTTTTTTGGTGGGGCCCATAACCACATCAAGTGGTCTAGACCACTTGGTCTCTTAATTCTTTCTCTCACTCCCGAAGCTCTCTGCCACCCCCTCAAAGTCTCTTTTTCTTCTTTTTTTTCTTTTTTTTTATTACTTCCAAACTTTGATCCTAGATTTCTTCCACAATACTTAGAATTTTTAAGTGCCGTTTGCGGCAAATTGAAGCCCACGACGAGATCTTCAAATCCATACCAGTAATTTCAGCTTTTGGCCACTCTAGGAAGTCCAAAAATTGAGACCCATTTTGAGGGTTTGAGGTGAAAATTGGGGCTTTTGGCTTAAATTAAGGTAGGGGTTTTTAATTCCCAATTTCTTGTTAATTGTTGCTAACTTGTTTAATTGATGTTAATGAATCCTAAAATGATTTTATTGTGCTGTATAAAGTTCTTGATTTTATGTATTAATTGATGTGTATGAAAAACATGCTTAAGTGTTGATTTCCTATGTATATTGTATTACTAATTGCTAGAAATGATGTATGTAAGCATGTATAATATTTTTTTAGAATTTCTTGTGAAGCATGCCTTATTTAAATTGTTTGCCTTAGAAATGATATAATTGTTGTAATAAAAAATTTGTGCTTATTCGTGTTGATGATATTATGTGAGAATCATGCCTAAATGTTAATTTCAATACCATGGTATTTATTATTTTCCTAGAAATTTCTATGAAGAAGCATGTTAAATTGTAAAGTGTAAATTTTCTTTATTTTTATACTATTAGAAAAATACATGGCATGCATCCATAGCATTGGGCATGAAAGAAAAGGGGAAAGTGTTTCGAAATGAAAGTGAAAGGGATTTTTGGGAGAAGAAATTTTTATAAAATGGTTTTTATGAAAACCCGGACGCTGCAGGGGTACCAACGGTCCGTGGAGTTAATGTAACCTAGAGGGAATTAGGGAGATCGTCCTAGCGTGGTTGAGCTATTTGGGCCCCAAATGACACCGTACCAAGGGTCAGGGACAGTAGTCAATCCTTCTCTCGGCGCTAAGGGGTTACCGAAGGGGGTTACGTTAACAGTTTAAAAAGTGGTGAACGAAAGTGATCTTGGAGAAAAATGGGGAGCGACATAGCACAGCATTGCATTTCATTGCACGACATTGTCTGTTTTGAGCCTTATAATTGTATCATACTCTTCCTCTGTATGGCATGATCCCTTTCCCTTTATTCATATTCATTATTTGGATTCACGGGGCCACAAGAGGTATGTCTTAAACACCACCTACTGAGCAATTTTGCTCACCCCTTATATTTAATATTTTTTTTCAGGAAATGGGAAAGAAGTAGCGGATGACATTCTACCACAGGCCTAATTTGGACTAGAAGACCATTTTGCTATTTTTGTATCTAAGTCCCATATTTTTTTGTAAAACCTTAGTTATTATATTCAGTATAGAGATTTATGGACTCTTAATATTATAATTATACCTATAGGCTGTAACTTTTATATAAGTTGTTTGAATGTTGTAAAGTATGGACATTTGATCTTAATCCTGTATTTTGGGACTGTAATTATGATATTTAGATGAAATGGTATGTGATTGTACCACCATGGAATGAACTAAATTAAGGCATAATGATTGGAGGAAAGGAATGCTGGAATATAATATTTTGCATTGTGTGTTGGGACAGGTTGGATAAGTCTTGAAAGGCCAAGAAAGGCCATTAAGTTTTTTTTATTAAGCAAATTGTTGTTGTTGGCCCCTGTTTAGCGGAGGTCATGCTGAATTTTTTTATATATATAAAGGGTATCAGTTTAGGAGCGTTACAAACAATAAGAAGGGAAGATCCTTTTTTTTTTTTTTTTTTCCTATACATCTTTCATTAAGCCAAAACCAAACAACAAGAAGGGAAAATCAATCCCCAAGTATGAAACAGCTATGGAAGAACTACTTCCAAAAAACTACAAGCAGCTATGGAAGAACTACTTCCAAAAAACTGCAAGCAGCAACGACAACCAGAAAAGAAAAAACAAAAGGAAAAGACCACCACCAAACTAAATACATCACCTTAAAACAAAAAGATCAAACAAACTTCAAGCTCTCATTCCTCCAGCAGGTCTTGCAGCTGAAGATCCAAAGTATCTTCAGTAGTATGATGAGCAGTCTTCGGCATTCAATCATGCAAGACATAATTTTTATTCAACCAAATATGCCTAACAGTTGAACATTCTTTGGCATTTTAGTTACTCAATACATCAAATTGTGAAGGGCATGTTAAAAATGAACCTGCTTTTGACAAATCACATGCTCGCATTTTTCTTCTGCACAACTTTAAACACGGAGCTTAAAAGGCTCCAATACATTTGTCACCATTGGCAGCAGTGTAGGAGCCATAAAATTCCTTGTACCAAAAGGCTTTATAGAGTGGGGGATTGCATTCACTGACCATGTCTTCTGCAGTTTCTATAAAAGTGTCCAACGAAGGATTGATGAAGGTGACAATGGTTGTCCGAGCTTCATTTGAATTTGTCACTGCTCGATGTTCAGCACTTTTAAGCTTTCCATTACTAATAACCTACATCAAAAAAATAAAATATATATATATATATATATATATATATATATATATATATTGGTATATATGCATATTCAGTGTCCTGTCTGAATAACAGGGGTATCAAATTGAGCCATCTTAGAACTTAACTAGTAAAATGCAGCATATATAACTGTACATATAATTGGTAACCAATGATAACCACAAATGCATTGGGAAGAGGCTCAATACCAATCCATTGACCATCCTTGAAGGCTTGAAGCCCATATACATCTCTTTGATATAGAATGGTTATGAGGTTGGGATCACAGTGTTTTCGCAAACCTAAAGTTAAACTCGGGTCAGGGCATGGGGGGTAGTGATTAACTGACATTAAATGAAATTTGGTAAGTTCATCCCCAAAGTATCCCGGTTGAAGTCCCAATCCTTCACAAATGAGCTTCAAAATCCTTAATGACAACTCTCTTGCTTCAACTGAATATGTTCCTATTGGGAAACATGCAAGTTTTAAAAACTTTTCTAGGGATTTTCATACATAGATCTTGATTCATCACATAGAGACAAATTTTATGCAAAAATAAAATATGATGTATCATTCAATTAATAAATTGAATACTTACATTAAGGTTTGAGTAAACCTTAGATCTCTCCTCTAAAGTGAATGTTCTCACTTATTGTAGATCCATTTTGCTAGATGTGTTTTCCTTGGATCTCCATCTTCTTGGTAATGGTTTGGCCTTTAGGAATCACTTATAAGCCTCCATGAATGACCTTGGAATACTAAGCTTGTGGGAGCCTCCATTAGATGAAAAAGTAAACCCTAAAATCTAGAGAGAGAAAATATATATTCCTTTTTTCCTTCTACCAAAAATCACCCCTAAAATATACATAGACCATCTATATATATAGGCAACATAAAGATAAGGAAAAGGAAATAATAAATCCTTCTCAATTCACATGTCTCAAATCTAATAGAATTACAATATCAAGTTGGGCTATGAGTGAGAATCCTTTGGACTTATTATTTTATTGGCTACAATGAATTAATACTTGGCTGGTCCATGGACCCAATTCAATTAATTAATAAATTAATTTCTACTCCACTAAAAGAAATTAATTAAACTCCAATTAAATAATAAATAACCTCTAAGTCAATGTTGCACTTTGACCTCTCTATGCATAATTAGTTATCGGATAAATAAAGCCATCAATCCGACTACTTAATTAATATATTTATTTTGGTACCTTTCATTATTTCCGGCTTGATCACAATAAAATATTTTTTTGACAAAAATAATTATTTAAATAAATAAATATATAATAAATTATTTTGTTTAAAAACACACGAAAGCCTTCGAATTTACTTTGTGATCAACCATAATCAATACAAAATAAATACAAGTAGTAATGATGCAAATATTGAAAATATAACCCTCTAACTATTAATTATATAATTACTCAAAGTGCTGGTCTAAGGATTTCGAAGATTCCGCCGAACAAATTAAAGTAATTACTAATTAATAAAAGTGTTTATACTTCTCTCATGCTTAAGAGTCAAATGGCATGACTGTGATAGAGAGCAATTGCATATGATGGCTCTCGCAATATATCTCAACCTAACGCGGATCCAGTTCAAGTCTTAGTTAATAATGAATCCATCCATAATTACCGATTATGAACAATTTATTATTACTATTTATAATCATGTATTGTTCGTCATCACATACATATATAAATATCTCTGTAATCAAATGGACACTACCAATTCCATAATGAATCAAAACATAATACATTGAATTCACCAATTATATAAATCATAAATATTTCAGATATGTCAGGAACATATGTCACTATAATCCAAATAGGAATTTGCTATGCCAAGGCATATAAATCCTAACAGCTCCCACTTGCCTTCATAGCCATTTCTAATTGCATCTAACTCCAATGTTATCCAGGTGATGATCAAAACTATTGATCGATGACACCTTTGTTAATGGATCAACAAAGTTGTGTTCTAATGCAATGTTATAGCCACGAGTACATTTTCTTACCGGACAATATCATGTAGGACATGATACTTTCCTCTTAGTGTACTTTGTTCCTCTATGGAACCTTGGGTCATTGGTTTGGACTTCTGCACTATTGTCACAATATAGCTCGATAGGCAGGCTAGTATGCTCCACAACCTCTAAATCAGTGGGATCAAACTAAAAGGCTTCATTTGCCGCCTTTAAGGCTGCAATGTACTCCACCTGCAGGTTTGAGTCAGCAGTTTAAATCTACTAACTGATTTCCCTTCCATTGAGTGAACATACACTAAGTCATGAACCTCATAATATCTACTTCTGATTGAAAATCAGAACTATCATACCTGACTAGGACCATATTATCACATCCATAAATGAGTATGAGATCATTTGTTCTTTTAAGGTACTTTATGATATTTTTCACAACTGACCAATTATCAAGTCCGGGATTGAACTAATATCTACTGACTATCTCTACTATGTAGCAGATGTCCTTTTTGGTATAGACCATGGCATATATGAGACTCCCATATATCGAAGTATATTGTTCCAGTCTCATTTGCTTAATCTCCTCTGCTAGTCTTGGATAACTACTTACTAGAGAGCAATCCATGTCAATAACGCAAGAATTCATTCTTTGAGTTTTGCATACCAAACCTGGTCAAAACTTTATCAATGTAGAATTATTAAGAGAAGCCTATTTTCCTTTTAACCTGATCTTGCAAAAACTTGATCCTAGGAATATAACTTACATCTTGAAAATCCACCATTTCAAAATAATTGAACAACTACCTCTTTAATAATGACAAAGTTTCCACGTCATTATAAATGAGTAGGATGTCAACAATATATAGAATTAGAAAAATAATGACATTACCCTGTACACATATGGTTCATTTACTAAGAAATCAATTGATATCCTTTTGTAGATTAATTTGCCTTCCATAGGTATCACCCTACTAGAAAGTCCTACAAGATCCCAGATATTATTAGAATACATAGATTCCAACTCTGATTTCATAGCAACTTGCCAAAATGATCTATATCCATATTGGTTCATGCTTTCATGTAGCTTACTGGGTCCAACTCATGTTTAACAGGGATGTCCATAAAGGTCTCACCTAAAAACATGATTTTGTCAGATTGGATGATAATCCTCCCACTACAATAATGTACCGATGCAGGAATCTGTGTACTAGATGATGCTGATGCACCAATAGGGAATTCATTTATAATTCTTAATCTCTATAATAAGTGTGTTCATATGTAGTACATCTGGTACTCATACTATATTCTCTAACATTATGCTACTAGGTATGTGATTCATAATATGATTCTCCTATAGATAAACAGTGAGTGTAAACAATCAACTTTTATCATTGAGATCATAAACCTTTAGAGTAGCTATCAAATCTATCATGCGTATGATCTGTTTCTAACTTACTTGTCCATATCAAGCGTACATGTGGTAGACTACCCCATATGTGCATGTGATTCAAACTAAGATTTAGTGAAAAACACAACTCAAATGGTATCCTTGAGACAGACTAAGATGAAATGCAATTCATAATGCGCATCGATATCATTAACGCTAAACTCTTAAATGAAAGAGATAATGCAGCATAATTGATCATAGATCTAACCATGTTAAGCGAAATTCTGTTATTCCTATTTGACACCTAAATCCATTTAGCGTCAATTGCGGAAAACTGGTACACAACACCCTCATTGACCATATAGTCTTTGCATTATCCCAAGAAATACTCATATCCACGATCAGATCGAAATTTTTTGATAAGTTTACCTAATCTGTGCTCCACATCAGTCTTGACACTCTCGGAATATACCAAAAGTTTAAGACTTGTGTCGTAACAGGTAAATTTATCCAAAACGTGAGTAATCTTACTTGGATGTTCATAAGACCACACATATCTGTGTGTACCGAATCCAATTGTTCTTTATGTCTTGTTCATTTAGCTTATTAAAGCCCTTAAGGGTATTTATCATTCAATACAGGATTCACAAG